CCATTGTTATCCATTGTAACAAGATCACCTGTTCGATAAAATAATTCGCCATCTATTTCGATGAGAGCTTTTGTAGTTAAGTCATCACGTTCAAGATAACCAGCAAACACACCCACCCCACTGAGAAACAATTCACCTTCCTCATGGGTAGTAGATGATTGTAAATACTCATTCATAATCATACATCTGTAGTTGAGTAGTGGACGTCCCATTGGAATGCTAGTCATATTTATATTCTTATCTATAGCATAAATTGTGGAGTCGACAGTTGTTTCTGAAGGTCCGTAGCCGTTCCATACAAAACCATCTTGTGGCAGATATGTATATAGCTTGTCAATAAGTTGAACTGTGCTCGCTTCTCCTAGAAAGTTTCAAGAGTAAGTACTTAATAAATAAAATGTGAGACGTACCGCCAACAACAACAGTACGCAAACTGCTCAAACTTGAAATGCTGTGGCTTTGTAGAAATTCCAACAATATATCAGCATATGATGGTACGCACGAGAGGTATGATACTTGTTTTTCGTTTAGCGTCTTCGTCATATAATCTAAATCCATATTTCCTTGAGAACCAAGCATTATAATTGTTGAACTAGTTATTAAAGGTCCAATGATTTCTAGAACATGCACATCATATGAACAACTTGCGATTTGTATCAAGGTCCCTTTATTTGGGAATAGATTCATTCGGACAAGAGAATCAATGCAAGCCAAGAAGTTTCGATGACGAATTTGGACCTAAAAAGCAAAACTCAAATAAAACTATCATTTAGACAAGGGTACGTCCTACTCCTTTCGATGTTCCTGTTGAACCACTAGTAAAAACAATGTATGCAATATTGTCTGCTGTCACTACAATATCCGAAAGGCAATCGAGAATTATAAAACTGTTGATGTGGCCGATAGTCCATAACAAATCTACGTTGCATAAAATGATTTCACTAGAAAACTTTAACGTTGTAGAACAGTGAGCCAGTACAAGACGACATTGAGTTTGCTCTACTAGTGCATGCAAACGATGTTGTGGATCTCGAGGTGACAATGGACAATAAACACCACCAGCCATTTCAATTCCCATAATACCAATCACCTAATCAAAATCAATCACAAATTCTTATCAATAGCTATTTCTCCTAATCCACTTACCATTGATAAACTTTGCTCAACACATTGACAAACTATCTCACCTGGAAAAACATGATATTCATTAAGAAGAGTCGAAGATAATACTTGAACATAATATAACAATTCACAATATGTTAATGACTGTTCATCTAGTTCAACAGCTAGTTTCTGTGGATGTTTCATTACTTGATATACAAATTCATGATGAATACAAGTGTGAGAAGATGAAAATGATACTTGTGTATTATTTAATGATTGTATTAGACATTGTTCGTTTGATAATATTAATGATAGTTCATATATTGGTTTGTTTATTTCATCGTCAATAATAGATGCAGATAGTTTGTGTACGGTGGAATGAAGCCGTTGTGAAATCTTCTCCGCTGTGTCTCTGTTGAACAAATCAAGTGATGCATTGATTATGCATGATAGCTGATTGATAGTGGTATCATGATGAATTAAAAGACGGAAGTCGGGTACATCTAGTATCATATCTTCATTAATGTTGAATGAGAAACATGCTGGAACAAGTTGAGAATCACCAATCATTATTACATTGTTGTCATTGTTACTGTTACCTGATATAAATTCTAGAGATGTATCCAAAAATGCATGTTTTGAAATATGTGGATGTTGATTGAGAATACGCTGAAGTGGAAAATATGAATATTTCATACTATTTGTGATTATCTCTTGAATATGTTCGAATAGTTGATGAAAAGACCAATGAGGATCCAATCGACACCGTAGTGGAATGACATTCTCAAACAGCCCAATGACTGATTTGAGTTCATCTCTATATCGATTATTATTGATGTTCATAGCAATACATAGATCTGTTTGTCCATTAGTTAGTTTAAATAGAAAGATGAAATAAATAGCAAATGTAAGATGTTCAAGTGGTATGTTGTTTGATGATGCATGGATGAGAAAGTGATGTGAGAGATCTTGACCAAAATCAAAAGAAACCGATGTTCCACGACCAGTTCGATGTTCATTCGAGAGACGATATCGATCAAATGGTAATGATAGAGATTGATCAAGTTTACAATCATGAAGAGCATCAAGCCAAAACATATTTGCACCAGTCATTGACATTTGTTGTTCAATAACAGCATCTATATAATTAAAGAAAAGAATGTGTGAAAAAAGACAAAGGCACAGGAACTATTGGTATTTACAATCGAGATAACGTAGAAGAGTGTTGTCGTCATATAATAATTGACCTGTTGTATATGCTTCATTGAGATCGTGAAGAAACACTTCCATTGATGGATAATCAAATAGAGCATGATGAAAGTTGAAGATAATTAGGTCTTTGTGAGAAAGAAGATGATTTGAAGAGATTTGCTTGTAATAAATAATATGACATCGAAAGACAAGACCTTGAGCAAGATCAAAAAGTTGAAGATTATATTTTTCTTCATGTATGAGATCAATAAGTTGTTCATGTGTTGTATAAGTGCTTTCAATAAATGTAAATAATGTATTATTATGCTGACTGAAGTCGATGGTTTCTTGTATGAGTCGATTGTTGTGTGTATAAAATATGAGTGATGTTCGAAGAGATTGATGTTTTGTGACGATTAGTTGAAGAGCATGACGAAGGTGTTGTACTGATAAAGTATAATGTAAGCGGAGACGATAAACAAAAGGCATGTTGTAAATTGCTACTTGTGATATGTGAGGTGTGCAATGAATAGATTCATTATGCCATAGTAAAGCTTGTGCAAATGATGCTGATGCTAGAATAACGAGTGATATTAGACTACGATTCATCAGAATAATGGTTAAATATTATCTGACATCAATACCTTAGACACTTTCATATGATCGGTTTGAGGGTACGAGTGTGGGTAGGTAAGAATGCAGATATTGGGCCAGTGTCGACATAGACAACAACATGTTCCTTATCAACGTCTACGCCTACATTCGCAAATGCACAATTAGTCAATAATGAAGAGAGGTGCGTGGATACAGATACAACTTGTATCCACATTTTATACATGTAGATCTGAACAGGTATACATTTACGTGTACTGTTTTATCAGTATATGTATTAATACATATATCAATGTATCAATCAATGTATTCATATATTAATACATGGATACAAGTATCGACATGTATATACCTAAAACAACCAGAATTTCAGAATTTCATGTATTGATACATCGATCCATGTATCGATACATATACCCATATCTATACCCCGAAAAAACGTAGAATTTCAGAATTTCATGTATCGATACAAGGATTCATGTATTAATACCTGAGTACATGTATCAATACATCAATACAACTGTCGATACATGTACTAATGTCTCGATACATGAAATTCTGAAATTCTAGGTTTTATGGGGGTACATATATGGGTACATGTATCAATACATGTATGAATACGTGTGGGGATGTATCGATATATCGATACATGTTAGGAGATGTATGTCGTGATTGTAGTAGGGAAAAATATCGATACAAGTTGTATCTGTATTCACGCATCTATGATAATGAAGATATTTTTAGTTAGAAAGGACTTTTTTTATGAAAATACAAACTTATTTAATTTATATGTGTATAAAAGGTTATTTTTGGCTTTATACAAAACAAAATAATTTTAAATAACACTTATATATAACAACGTATCTTAATAAACAAGAAAACCTATAATCAGATGAAAATCAGTAAAAATAATATACTGTTTATCGTTTTTAGGCTTCATATCAACTATACTGTTGCCGAAGTTCTAAATTGGCGAAATTACAAAGACTCGTTTAGGATAGAACAATTGATGTACCTAGTTTCCCCCGTCATATAAAAAATACATAGATATCCTCATTTTATATTTTTGAAATAAAAAATAAATAATCATACGTTCACTAGGAATATCGTTCAATCGATGAAACACGACTAATTCCATTTCTCCAGCTTCCTCGGGAAGAGTAAGAGAGATTTTGTTAATCGATGGGCTCACATTCATCAAAGGAGTGTCGGCGGATTGTGTTTTAAATAGTTGTTTCAACATGTACTGAAATCTTTGGCCTATTATGGTAAGTGTTGTTTCATGAAATAAATAACTTGAACATATAAAAGAGCAACACAACTGATTATCATCAGATGCTGGATTGTGTACTAATGTCAGTGAGAAGTCAAATTTAGCCATCTCGTATGATTCACTTAACGATACTTGTTCTAGATTAACACCATTCAAACATAAATCATTGACTCCTCTTGATATAGTAATAAAATCAAACATTGTTTCAAGAAATGATACATTTGATTGAGTGAGATGTAAATCAGTAAGAATATGTTGAAGTGGATAGTGAGAATGTTCAAGAAATGATAAACATTTTTCTTGTACATATTTAACTACTTCATCAAATGACCAATGACAATCAAGTTCCATACGAAATGGTAATGTTGAAACAAACATTCCTATTATATTCACTAATTCACTTCTATATCGATTTGCATTAATAGAAGAAATACATAAATCACTCTCACCATGAGTTAATTTGAATAGGAAGACATAAAATATGGATAATCCAAGTTGAAAGAGTGTGAGATGATGTGATGATGCATAGTTGAAAAATGATGCACATATTTCATCATCAAAAGTGATTTGAGCTGAAGAAGCTAAAACTGAACGTTGTTGATTAGTCGATGAACGTTGTCGGTCTACAGGCAATGACAACTGGTGTGTCAGATTATATCCTTTGAGTTCTAATCGCCAAAATTCTTGAGATGATGACATATCCATTATATGTTCAT